CTTATATGGACTGATGCTGAGTGAAGTGAACAGAACCAGGAGAACATTGTACATAGTAACAGCCATGTTGTGTGATGACTAACTTTGATAGACTTAGCTCTTCTCAGCAATACAAGGATCTAAAACATCTCCAAAAGTCTCATGATAGAAAATGTTATCCACATCCAGAAAAAGAACTATGGAGTTTGGATGCAGATTGAAGCATACTATTTGCTCTTTTTTTTTTCTTCTGCTTTGTTTTGTTTCCTTTTTCTAGTGGTCCCTCCTATTGGTTCTAATTCTTCCTTACCACATGACTAATGTGAAAATATGTTTATTAGGAATGTATATATACAGGCTATATCAGATTGCACACCATCTTGGGGAGGGAGGTGGGGAGGGAAGGGGGAAAAATTGAAAACTCAAAAACTTATGGAAGTGATTGTTGAAAACTAAAAACAAATTAATAAAAATAAAATAAAATAAGGGGCTAGAACAGCTTCTATTATGCTTCAACTGATGTTAAAAAAAAGCAGGGGTGGCAATCATAATCTTAGACAAAGCAAAAGCAAAAATAGACCTAATTAAAAGAAATAAGCAAAGAAAGTAAGGTACCATCGACAATGAAGTAACATCAATATGAAACATATATGCACCAAATAGCAAAGCATCCAAATTCTTAAAGGAAAAGTTAAATGAGTTACAGGAGGAAATTAACATTAGTAGGGGACCTCAACTTTCCCCTCTCAGAGTTAGATAATCTAACTGTAAGATTAATGAGAAAGAAAATGAAGAGATGAATAGAATTTTAGAGAAGTTGGATATGATAGATCTCTGGAGAAAAATGAATGGGAATAAAAAGGAGTATACCTTTTTCTGAGCTATACATGGCACCTTCACAAAAACTGACTATATTTTAGGGCATACAAAACATCGCAATCAAATGCAGAAAACAAAAATGTTAAATGCGCCCTTTTCAGATCATAATGTATAGATTAAAAATTAATTAGAAACTAATCTAACCCTAAAGAATGAGTGGGTCAAAGAACAAATCATAGAAACAACAATTTCATTAAAGATTTTTACTATAATGAGACATCCTACCAAAATTTGTGGGATCCAGCCAAAGCAATACTTAAGGGAAAATTTATATCTCTGAATGCTTACATCAATAAAAACAAGAAGAGCAGATCAATGAAGTGGGCATGCAATTAAATAAAAAACTAGAAAAAAACAAATTAAAAATCCCAAATTAGACACCAAAATGGAAATCTTGAAAATCAAAGGACAGATTAATAAAATTTAAAGTAAAAAAAGTTGATTTAATAAATTAAACTAGGAGCTGGTTTTATGAAAAAAAAATAAAGTAGATTAACCATGAAAAAACCTTAATTACCGGTATCAAAAATGAAAGGGGTGAATACACCATCAGCAAAGATGAAATTAAGGCAATTAGGAGCTATTTTACCTAATTATATTCTAATAAAAATTGCAATATGAGAGAAATGGAGGAATATTTACAAAATACAAACCACCCAGATTAACAGAAGAGGAAATAGAATACTTAAACAATACTGTCTTAGAAAAAGAAATTGAACAGCCATAAATGAACTCCCTAAGAAAAAATCCATAGGATCAGATGGATTCATAAGTGAATTCTACCAAACATTTAAGAAACAATCTCAAATACTGTATAAACTATTTGAGAAAATAGGGAAACAAGTCCTATAAAATATTTTATGACAAAAATATAGTTTTGGTACCTACACCAGGGAGAGCAAAAACAGAAAGAAAACTATAGACTCATTGCCTTAATGAATATCAGTGCAAAAATTTTAAATAAAATACTAGCAAGAATATTATAGCAATACAAGCATACCTTACTTTATTTTGCTTCACTTTGTTGCGCTTCTCAGATATTGCTTTTTTTTTTAAATAAATTGAAGGTTTGCAGTAACTCTGCATTGAACAAGTCTATCAGCATCATTTTTCCAACAGTATGTGCTCACATTGTGTCTCTGTGTCACAATATTTTTAAATTTATTATTATTAGTTATAGTGATCTATGATCAATGATCTTTAAAGTTTCTATAGTAATTATTTTGGGAAACCACAAACGACACCCATAAAAGATGGTAAACTTAATAAATGTGTGTGTTCTGACTGCTCTACCAAGTGGACATTCCCTATCTCTCTCCTTCTTCTCTGGTCTTTCTATTTCCTGAGATACAACATTAAAATTAGGCCAGTAGGGTAGCCTTTAAGTGTTCAAGCGAACGGAAGAGTAAATTGATGCAGCAAACTTCATTGTCTTATTTTAAGAAATTGCCACAGCCACCCCAACCTTCAGAAACCACCACCCCAATCAATCAGCAGTCAACAACTTTAAGGCAATACCCTCCACAAGCAAAAAGATTACTAAAGGCTCAGATGATGGTTGGCATTTCTTTTTTTAGCAATAAAGTATTTTTAACTAAAGTATGTACATTTTTTAGACATAATACTCTTGCATACTTAGTAGACTACAGTATATTGTAAACAATTTTTATATTCACTGGGAAACCAAAAAACTTATGTGACTCACTTTAGTGCAATATGAACTTTATTGTGGTGGTCTGAAACCAAACCTACAATATATCCAACATATGCCTGTATATCACAAAGATTATATACTAAGATTAATTGGGATTTATACCAGGAAGGTAGGGCTGGTTCAATATTAGGAAAACAATAAGCATAACTGACCATATCAATAGCAAAAAGAACAAAAATCATGTGATTATATCAATAGATGCAGAAATTTTTTTTTTTTTTACAAAATACAACACTCCTTTTAAAAACACTAGGGGGCAGCTAGGTGGCTCAGTGCATAGAGCACTGGCCCTGAAGTCAGGAGGACCTGAGTTCAAATTTGACCTCAGACCAGACACTTGACACTTACTAGCTGTGTGACCCTGGGCAAGTCACTTAACCCCTAAGTAAAAACAAACAAACAAAAAAAAACCACTAGAAAGCATAGGAATAAATAGAACTTTTCTTAAAATGATAGGTAGTAGATATCTAAATCCAAGAACAATCATTATTTATAATGGTATTCAGTTAGAGCCCGTTTCATTAAAATCAGGAGTGAAGCAAAGATGTTTGTTATCATCATCAGTATTTAGCATTGCACTAGAAATGCTAGCTTTAACAATAAGACAAGAAAAAGAAATCGAAGGAACAGGAATAGACAATGAGGAAACAAAACCACAACTCTTTGCAGATGATATTATAGTATACTTAGAGAACCAACTAAAAAACTAGTCGAAACAATAACTTTAGCAAAGTTGAAGGATATAAAGGGTTTTATCATAAGAATTTATGACCAAACAATGACAGAGAGAATCACAGGAAGTACAAAGAATAATTCTGACTACATGAAATTTAAAAGTTGTTGCAAAAACAAAACCAAAGCAGCCAAAATTAGAAGGAAAGCAGGAAATGGGATGGAGGAGGGGGAGGAGAGATTTATAACAAGTTTCTCTGATAAAGGCTTGATTTCTCAAATATATAGAAACTGAGGGGAATGGCTGAACAAGTTGTGGTATATGAGTGTGATGAAATACTATTGTGCTATAAGAAATGATGAGCAGGATGGTTTCAGAAAAAACCCAGGAAGATGTATATGAACTGATGCAAAGTAAAGTGAGTAGAACCAAGAGAATATTGTACACAGTAACAGCAATATTGTAACAATGACCAATTGTGAAAGACTTAGCTACTCTGATCAATACAATTATCCATGACCACGCCAAAGAACTCATAATGAAAAAGTTATCCATCTCCAAAGAGAGAACTGATGAACTCTGAATGCAGAATGAAGCCAATTTTTTTCACTTTATTTTTCTTGCTTTCTTTTTTTGCGACATAGCAATGTTTTGTATGACTTCACATGTATAATGGATATCATATTGTTTGCTTTAGGAATGGGTGTGAAATGGTTTGTGGATGGGAGAGAATTTGGAACTCAAAATTGTAAAAATGAATGTTAAAAAAAAGTAAAAAAATTCAGCAGGATGAACTAAAAAGATCATGAACATCAAGAGAATACATTTTTAAAAGGGAGGGGTGATTAAGGGAGTTTAGCAGTAACACATCTCAAACTGTATTGCAACACTGTAATCATCAAAACAATTTGGTACTGTGGAAAAATAGAAAGGTTGATTAGTAGAGTAGATTAGATAATCAATATACATAAGCAAATGAGTTAAATGACCTAATGTTTGATAAACCCAAAGATCTTTGCTATTGTGGCAAGAACTCACTATCTGACAAAATCTGCTGGGAAAACTAGAAAGCAATAAAGCAGAAATGAGACATAGACTAACATCTTATACTGTATACCAAGATAAGCTCAAAATAGGTTCATGATTTAGCTAGAAAGGGTGATAAAAGCAAATTAGTGGAGAATGGAAATTACCCGTTAAATCTACAGATAGGGGAAAAATTCATAACCAAAGAAAAAACAGAATAGATCACAAGAAATAAAAATGGACAATTTTGATTACATAAAATAAAAACATTTTGCATAAACGAAACTAATGCAGCTAAAATTGGGGGGGAAGAAACCGAGTGAAAATCTTTGCAGCAAATTTCTTTGATAAAAGTCTCATTTCTAAAATATACGAGTAACTGAGGGAGCAGAAATTTGGATGGCTGCATGCTTGCTTTGTAAGTGTGTGCTAGAAGGTGAGTAGATGTGGGCCAAAGACCAAAGAACACCCACCACAACCCACACCTGCCTGTCCAGTTTGAGGGGAATCAGTAATATGAGTTTTTGTTATACAGAAAATAAAATCCCTGTGATGCTATCTGAAAAAAATCTGCTCATTTGCGCCCTGGCCCCCAGCTTAAGAAAAATTCTCAGAAGGCCAGCCATTCCCCTCCTGAATAGTCACATTTCATTTCAGGGATAGGGTATAATTACATCCCATTTGCTATCCCATTTCCTGACTTTGTGTTCCATTTTTTTCATAACACAGAACTGGAGGCCTGACAATATGGTACAAGCTGAAGGGGGTTGAGAATTGTGAAAGGTTAGTGATCTTTTCTCAATTAAAAGTGAATAAGCAGGAAGACTCATTATTCCAGCCTATGTCAGTACAATCAGGTGTTGTATTTAAGTTTGTCTTATTGCTGCAAATAATAATAATAATGTCTGAATGTCTGACCCCATACCCACCAGAGGTATCCCTTCCCCTAAGGACAAAGTGGCATGTGTCCCTATCCAGTAGTTGGTCAAGGTAAAGGCCAGGCTAGAATGTTAGATCAGATGCACACAAGTGTTGGGTTTTTCTGTTCCCCCAATCCAAGGGGCATAAAGCACAAAAAGCAAATGCACAGTAGATAGTAGGTGAGGGATTAGATTCTAATTATCAAGGTCAAACAAACAAGCAGCCAAGGACCACTGATTGGTGTTGGGAGTCCTCTCTCAGCTTACCTGGGTCCAAGGACCGATCAGATGTTGCTTCCTCTGCTAGGCTGGAAAGGTCCATTTCAGAAGGGCTGGAGACTAGATGTCTTTCTGAAGCTGTGGATCCATCCTGGCTTAAAGGGATGCACCACCTCTTCCAAAGGCAGAGTTTGCATCAAGGCTACCTCCTTCTAGGCCTGTGAAAGAGAGCTAGACAGAGATCACATGTCTTATCAGGTTTTCATTCCCTGTGGCCAGGCTCAGGCTCTGAGGGTCCAGCCCCTGACTAGCAATTACCAAACAAGATTTCAAAAGGTGACAATCCACAATCCTGCCTACAGTAATTTCTTAGTTGGAACAATACAAGGGGAAGAGCCCGAGGCCATTTTAAGTGTGTTTCCTGGCATAGCGATAAGACATGTATGAGCCCAGGGTTATCCCAAAAAACTTGGAGAGTTGCTTAGTTATTTCTATGGTCAAGTGTGGCCATTGGTACATGGCAGCCCAAATCTTGTTATTATGCTCTTGGTCAGATACCTTGCTACTATGTTCACTGTGGTGTGTGTCACCAGAAGGGCCTCTACCCAGTGGCTGAATTGGTCTGTGTACACCAAAACATCTGTAGCCCATAGACTTTGGCAATTCAATAAAGTCAGTCTACCAGTGTTCAAATGGTAGGGTTGCCCACTTTCTCCCCACTTTTGTCACAGTTTTCTTCTGTGACAAGTTGAACTGTTGACAAAAGAGGCAGCTAGAGACCATATTGTGGGCCTCTGCATAAACAGCAGAAGCAAACCATGACAGGAGAATTTACAGTACTAGGGCTTTAGTTCCAATATATCCCCAGGCATGGAGTTCATGGCACAGAGGCACACAGTCATTTAGGTGTAACAGGGGTGCCCATCTGGCACAGAATGGCTTTATGTCTGGTCACCCAGATGTCAATTTCAGCACCTATGACTAAGGAAGAATATAGTCAGTGGGTGGGCTAGCAGAGAGCATAAGCTCTCTGTTTGGTGGCTCTCGAGGACCCTGATGGACAGTCCATTTCGCCAACTCATCTGCAAACTGGTTGCCATTTTACAAAAATGACTGCCCTCTGGTCTGGGCCAGGCAATGCATCCTGGGGATGGCCCCAAGGATCAAAATAGCTTAAAGAAGTTAGTTAATAAGCAAGGCATAAGCTGTTGGCTTACCATTTGTGATGATGATGTCTTCTCTTGTCTGGTTTTTTTTTTTGTGAGATAATTTACCCCATTCTACCTTTCCCTTTCTCCTTCTCCTAGTATAATCCTCTCTCACCCCTGAATTTTCTTCTCCAGATATGACCCCTTCATCTTCAACTCACCCTGTGCCCTCTATCTATATATCCATCTATCCATACATATATATACATATATACACATATATACATATAATTTTTTCCCTCCAACTGCCCTAATACTGACAAAGGTCTCATGAGTTACAAATATCATCTCTCCATGCAGGAATGTAAACAGTTCAACCTTAGTAAGTCTCTTATGATTTCTCTTTCCTGTTTATCTCTTCATGTTCCACTTGAGTCTTGTATTAGAAAGTCAAATTTTCTATTAAGCTCTGGTCTTTTCATCAAGAATGCCTGAAAGTCCTCTATTTCATGAATGACCATTTTTTCCCCTGAAGAATTATACTCAGTTTTGCTGGGTAGGTGATTCTTGATTGTAATCCTATCTCCTTTACCCTCTGGAATATTATATTCTATGCCCTGTGGTCCCTTAATGTAGAAGCTGCTAAATCTCGTGTTATCCTGATTGTGTTTCCACAATACTTGAATTGTTTCTTTCTGGCTGCTTGTAATATTTTCTCCTTGACCTGGGAACTCTGGAATTGGGCCACAATATTCCTAGGAGTTTTCCTTTGGGGATCTCTTTCAGGAGGACATTGGTGGATTCTTTTCTATTTTGCTCTCTGGGTCTAAAATATCAGGGCAGTTTTCCTTGATAATTTCTTGAAAGATGATGTCTAGGCTCTTTTTTTTGTGATCATGGCTTTCAGATAGTCCAATAATTTTTAAATTCTCTCTCCTGGATCTATTTTCCAGGTCAGTTGTTTTTCCAATGAGATATTCCACATTGTTTCTAATTTTTCATTCTTTTGGATTTGTTTTACAGTGTCTTGATTTCTCATAAAGTCACTAGCTTCCAATTGCTCTATTCTAATTTTTAAGGAAATATTTTCTTCAGTAATCTTTTGGACTTCCCTTTCCATTTGGCCAATTTTGCTCTTTAGGGCATTCTTTTCTTCATGGGCTTTTTGGACCTCTTTTGCCATTTGGGTTAGGCTATTTTTTCAGGTGTTATTTTCTTCAGTATTTTTTGGGGTCTCCTTTAGCAAGCTGTCAACTTGCTTTTCATGATTTTCTTGCATCACTCTCATTTCTCTTCCCAGTTTTTCCTCTACTTCTCTTACTTGCTTCTCAAAATCCCTTTTGAGCTCTTCCAAGGCCTGGGACTGATTCATATTTTTCTTGGAAGTTTTGGATGTAGGAGCTTTGACTTTGTTTTCTTCTGGTTGTATGTTTTGATTTTCTTTGTCACCAAAGTAAGATAATATAGTCTGACTGTTTTTGCGCTGCTTGTTCATGATCCCAACCAATTACTTGAGTTTTAAACTCTTTGTTAGGGTAAGAGTCTGTTTTCAATGTGGAGAATGTACTGTCCCAAGCTTCAGGGTTTTGTGTAACTGTTTTCAGAGACACTTCTAGGGACTTGAAAAGTGTCAGTTCTTCCAAGGTGCTATGATAAGAGGCGAGGCATTTCATCTCCACCACTACAACAAGCTCCACCACACCAGCGCTCCTCCTCGCCCCAGGATTGCCCCTCAGAACTGTGATCCAGATCCAAGCACTGGCAAAGCAAGAGATTCCTGCCTCAGCACTGGCAAAGAGATCCTTGCAATCCTGCTCTGATCAGCCTCTCGATTCACCCTCAGTCTATGGGCCGGAAGCTCAGAAGGCAGCTGTCTCCCTCAGGGCAGCTGAGATCTAGCTTCTTCTCTCACTGCAGTCACAGACTTTTCCCACTGACCTTCTAAGTTGTCTTTGGCATTCATGGGTTGAGAAGTCTGGAAATTGCCACAGCTGCCCGTGATTCAGTCCTCTGAGGCCTGCTCCAGGGTCGCTGTGGCCTGTGCACCCAGGCCAAACTGCGCTCCTCTCCCAGCCTAGCGCGATGTACCTTTCCGATCAGCCATCCAGGTTGTCTTTGGCTGGAAATTTGTTTTACTCTGTCTTTTTGTGGGTTCTGCTACTTTAGAATTTGTTTAGAGCCATTTTTGTAGGTATTTGGAGGTCTTTGGGAGAAAGCTCAAGACAGTCACTGCTTTCCCTCTGCCATCTTGGCTCCGCCCCCCCCATGATGATGTCTTGATACTTCCACAAGGTGCCAGGGGCATGATAGACTCCCAATGGCATATTTGGAATCTGTTAAATGCTCACTCAGAGTCCCTCAGCACTGGTCAGTACTACCAATTTGACTTCCTGTACCCCAAGTCCATCAGACAGTGCAGCCTACTCAACAGCCCAGGGGACATAACTACTCCCCCATACCCCTCATACCCCATTTTCATAAAAGGGGGAGCCATCTGTAAACAATGTGAGATTGGGCTCCTCCAAGGGAACATCTGTGAGGTCAAGCTATAGGTTCTCCATAGCTTCAATTACCTCAAGGCACTCAATTACCTCAATTGACCAACACCTCATCATCTTTCGGGGGGAGAATGGTTGGATTAAAGATAGTAATAGTGATGAATGGTGAGATTAGGGTCAGACCAAATGCTTACCTCATAAGCATCTACCTGCTGGTAGAAGAAGGCTTGAGTCTTAGACTGGAATAAAATGATAGCAACAGGATGAGGTCTAGGTACATATACAGTCATAATATCATCAGAGTCTATGCAAATCCATACTAGGAATGGACCGCCCTCTTGTGTGCAACAATATTAATATTAATTAATAAATATTAATTTAGAGGCTGTTGAACCTATTCAGAATGTCATCAATGCTTACATCTATCTGGGGGTGATAGTGCTATGTCAGTCACCCCTGGACTGCCTGTGAGGAAAAATAAGTTGAAAGATGAAGGCCTATCTGTATACCCTTTTGTCCAGGATATGAGCTATCAATAATCTTGTTATCCTGAGAGCCTCAGTGGTCTCAAATCCTGTTTCTATTATCACCAACTTCCCTTACAATATGAAAGTATATTCTGTTATTGATTTGTGTACTGCCTTTGTGTTCCAGTAGACTTGGACTCATAGTACCTCTTTACATTTACTTGAAAGTGCCACCAATACACTTGGATCAGGTTGCCTCCAGAGTTACTTCCACTCTATTCACATAGGTGCTGTAAAATTCCTAACAAGATGTACACCTGCCCTGAGGTCCATCTTATTTCAATATGTTGATGACAGGGAGTCTGTGAAGAAGATACTATTTTTCTCCTATGTTTTCTTTATTAAAAAGACCACCAGATCTCTCCTTTAAAGTTAGTTTGCCCCTCCCACAGTGATATGAGATGGGATATGAGGTGGGCCCCAACTCTAGGGCCTTGACAAATGATAGGATCCTGGGTATCCTTCAAATGCTAATACCAAAAACAAAACTCCAGGTATGTGCCCTGTTGGGGGCTGTGGGATACTGCTGCCCTTGGATTTCAGCACTAGAAGAACTCACCAAGGAACTAGTTGCTTATATGGCTAAAGAGGCCTGAATCTTTCACATCTTCAGAAGCCTTGAAGGAAGCATTAGGCAAGTGAAACAGGCGATGGCCATCCCACCAAATCTAGGACTGTACATGAATGAAGAGGGGTTGTTGTGGCAGACAAATCAGACACTAGAGTTCCCGTAAACTTTTTAAGTTCCTTTAAAATTGCCCAATGAGCCAAATCAATCCCTTTGTATTCTAACTCAACCCCTCCCAGATCACAGTGAATAATGGCCTTAAGTTTATGTAACATGTCCCTTCCACACAATGACATAGGGGAATTAGACATTAACAAAAAGGAATGAAAATATGTCAAAGGTCCAATAACTACTTTAAGCAGAGTGATTAAAGCACATGTCTCACCTATTACCCTTTCCATATTTAATATCAGGAAGCCCTGGGTGGGGGGCACTTAAGCATTGAGAAAATCACTCTTGCGTCCACCTAGCAAACAAAGGGTGTTCCATTAACAGCAGTCTCAGGTAAGGGCTCCTTAACTGTACCTGAGTCCTCTTCAACATTCCCAAGAAACGCCTAGTGGTTGGGAAGTTCCCAACCACCTATCTCCTTCTGTCATTGTGAATATTCATCCTTAGTATCCAAAACACCCTACAGACCATTTGGGGTCCATGGGGATTGTGATTGAGGGCACCAACGCTACAGTGGGCGGGGTCTACATGGTAGCTGGTTCTTCATGGGGTCCCCTTTGGATAACATGGAGGATGTGACCCTCTGCTGGAGGCCTTGTCCTGCTCATTTCTGGCAATCTCACTTGAATTGTCCCTCCTTTTTCTTGTGAGAGCACACTGGTCTCCTCCCCTGTGTTCTAAATCTCCTTTTCTGGTCCTCTGTTCCTCCTCCTTTGTCCTCCTGCATCACCCCCTTCATAGAGACCACCAAAATCTTCACTTCCTTAAACTTACTTTCCTTCTCTAAGTCCCTTCTCCTTCTGCCCATCAAACACAACACAGTCCTGCTGAGTTCACTAGTGGTTTCCCACTCCAGCTGGGGCAGAATTTATGACAATAATCACAAATGTCTGTTGCTGAGTGATTAACATAAGCTAAACCAATTTAGACCATGCTCATATTCTGTATCTGAGCACATTTCTGGGCAGCAGCACACAAACAAATATGGAAAGCATTGAGATATTCATCTAAATTTTGTATAATGCCATGGACTTTTTCCCAATCTATCAGTTGTGCAGTCTGCTCTAGAGGGTCATTTTTGCATCATTGAGCATTTCCCAGTCCCTCTCATTATTATAGCTCCAATCAGGAGGCATTCTGGGCCATGTGGTCCTGTTATGTTCATCCTCTAACTTTATTTTATTTTAAATTTATTTATTTTTAGTTTTCAACATTCACTTCCACAAGATTTTGAGTTCCAAATTTTCTCCCCATCTTGCCCATTCCCTCACCTCAAGATGGCATGCATTCTGAATACCCCTTTCCCTGAATCAGCCCTCCCTTCTATTTCTCCCCCCCCTTCTCTTATCCCCTTCCCTTTCCATTTTCCTGTAGGGTAGGATCATCCTCTAACTTTACAGCACAGGATAGGACCTTTGCCTTCTCATCCTTTATGAGAAAGGCATCTAATAATGTGGCATCCTCCTAAATGGGGTTATGGCTCCTCATAGTGGTCCTAGTTTTCTTAATGATGGTGACTGTGTCCATCCAAAAGGGTGGAGTGAACTGTTGCCATAATATAATGTCTTCTGGTGAAAAGGAGATATGCACTTTTCTCTGATTATTCTCTATAAAAGTGGTTCTTAAGGGTGCCATGGTCTTTGATTCTGAGAAATCTGGATATTATGGTTGTGGTTTGATGGTGAGAACTGGCACCTCTAATGGACATGGTAATGAGGGGCAGTCTCAGTTTGAAAGTTCTGCCCAACAGTACCAATAATCCATTTGCCTAGGCTCCGGTTCTTCAAGTCTGATTTTCAGCGTACACAGCTGACCATGATCAAAGGGCCCATATTTATCTGGCCAAATTTGCTTCCCACAATTATCTTAGTACTGAATCCAGTCCAAACTGAGTTTTACCACTAAAGTTTTGGATATTCCCAATTGAAATGTCAGTTTTCCATTATCCCAAGCTTTTAATAGCTTGCTTAAGAGGGAGCCAGTAGGAGGTTTACTCTGTCCCAATCCTATAATGATACCTGTATTCCTTTGACCACTCTGTCCCTTGGAGACCTAATGTTAGGTCAAGACTAGTTATTCACCACTGCTTTTTCCTTCACACAGCACCACTCCCATATCTCTATGCACAAAATTGGGGCTTGGGCCCTATTTCTTCTTATCCTTCTTGAGTCTGGAGAGTTTAATTCTCTGACTACTTCACAGCTGACTGACCTCTGAGAGAGTCCATGACAAACTGCAATCAGACAAAGGTCTGAGTGCTGGTAGTAGAGTTGGAGTAGTTCCACCTAGTGACTGTCATGCAAGCAAAGGTTCCTGCTGTGGCCACCAAAATTGCTTAAAAAAAATCTTGGTTTGGACCTAACCCTGGTCAATGAGGCAAACTCAGGAAAAGAAAGGTAAAAGTATTTTATTAGCACACCAAAGCAGTAAGCAGTTGGAGTGCGGAGGTTCAGATTTCAAAATACCACCTAGCTTTTATAGACAGGAGTAAACAATTTCCATATAAGGGCAAAAGTATGTTGATTGGCACATGTATCATGAGGAGATGGGTTTTGTGCCACTTTAACTTTTTTCTCCATGTCTAAGTGCACATGCCTAAGGGTATTTTTTAACTGCCGTCTCTTACAGGCTAGTTGCTCACATAGCCAAAGTTTAAGCAAGGTTTCAAACATAGGGGTCACTCAGATTTGCATGAGTAGCTAAATTTGCACAATCAGTCTACACTTTAGAAAAAAATCAACTTGGCAACTCATGTGAGGATGGTTTGGAGTGGGGAGAAATTAAAGCAGAAAAGCATTAAGAATGCATCAGACTAGAAAAGTAAAGAAAAAGAAAAAAAATAAACCAAATTACCAGTATTAAAAATGAAAAAGGAAAATTCACAAAAAATAAAGAAAAATATTAGAAACTTTTTGTCCAATTATGTCAAAGAAAACTAACAGCATAAGTGAAATGGATTAATATTTACAAAAAATAGAAACTGTTCACATAAACAGAACAAAAAATAGAGGATTAAATAACCCAATCTCTTAAAAAAAATTAAACAAGCCATGAATTAGTTCCCAAAGGAAAAAAAAATCTATGACCAGCCATTTACAGGCAAATTTAATACAACATTCTAAGAAAAATCAATTCCAGCGTTAAATAAGGTGATTTTTTTAAAATAGAAAAAGAGTCCTACCAAATACATTCCATGATAGAAATATGGGCTTGATACCTAAACCAAGTGACTGGAATAAGAGTCTTCTGAGAGGTGGGAGAAGTAGAAGCTGGTGTGTAGGGTTAGGTATGGCTTCTTAAATGCAGCTATAGTCCAGTCCCCAAACTCAGTAATCTCAAAGGACGTGATGCCTCTGTAGAGCAAGCTGAAAGACATTTCTGAACCAGGGAGTCCTCATCATACCCTGGGCTGTCAGGAGCAGAGATGGAGCCTTGACCACTCTTAAAAAAGTAGCTTGCAAGCTTCAACTCAAGGCAGAATTGAACCAATCTTCACCATTCTGTGAATCTGTTGCAGGTTCTATTAATTTGAAGAATGGATGCTGAGAATGTTTCTAATTGTTGAGGTGTTCATTTCCATACATTTCCTTTTTTGTTCCAATTAAATGCCTTATAACTGATTTTGTGCTATTGTAATAGCTCAATATTTATACTCAAAATGACTTCATTTTCCTATTTCATATGGGGATAGGAACTTGAGACCCTTAGGGCACACTTACCAGAAAATTATTCTCTCCATTTCCCATCTCCCACCTCACAATAAACCCAGTTCCATGAAAGGCTAATGCTGACTGGCACATGGGAGACATAACAATTAACAGCCACGTGTCATTAGCTGAAGATTTTATTAAATATGGCATAATTAAATGATTGGGTAACCCTTTACCTTCTAGGAAAATGCTATTATTCTTAAAATGTGTTGGTTACATAAACTATGGGAGAAAAAAAGCAACATGCAGCTCTCTCCCAGGTAATGTTTCTATAGCTTAAAATGGTGAATGACATTAAATGATTAGCATTTGCTTTTTTATAGGGGAAGAAGAATTCCAGTAAACTGGAGGACATCAGATATCAAGAAAGGACCATTTAAAAAGACTGCAAGAACAAACTGTCTTCCAAAACTAAATGCTTAACTCCAGACAGTTATTGACCTTGTTTTTTCACCTATGATATTCAGGTTTTACATTTAGTACTCAGTACTTTCATTGAGGGAATGAAATAGATAAGAAAGGACTGACTACCAGACTCCAAAGTTTTGGCTCCTATGCCAAAAACATCTTTGAGGGCACACAGGTAACTTTCTCAAGTGGTCCTAAAATGCTTTACAGCACTGTCAGAATTTTGAGAGACATCTATATAAAGTGTGGAGAAAGAGATTAGTAGTACACTTTTTTTTTCCCATTTACCCCCTAACCTGACCGAAGCAACAGATATTACTTGTTCTTGTGAATTAAGTTACTTTGGTCTTATTTTGGAAATAAATCCAGTCATTTAGCTTTGAGTTGGATAAGCTAAAATAGTAAGCCATTGATTCAGCTATTTGTTTATAGGGTTATAATGTATTCCTCTTTCATGACATTTCTTGACTTTCTAGAGCTGTTTTCTAGGCCCAACATACATCACTTACTGGCAGCGTTTCAGATTTTCTAAAGCCACTGAGTAGTATACACTACTAGTTTCAAAGACATAGTGGCATAGTGTTAAGGTCATATGTGCTATCTCGGTCAAAATCTTATTCAGCAGATCTAGTAATGAACATCAAGTGTTTCTCTTGGAAGTATTTCTTTAAATTTTCACTTGTTATCTTCAATGGGAGTATCTTTGATTATCCTTTTTGTGTTCATGTCAAATATTTATCCTTTTTATGTGAATATGTATTGTATAGATGGTGTACATTCCCATTTATTTTCATGTTGTCTCCTTTTTTCTTTTTTCTTTTTTTATTAATTTATTTTGATTTATCAACAATCACTTCCATAAGCTTTTGAGTTTTAAATTTTTCTCCCCTTCCCTCCCTACTTCTCTCCCCAAGATGGTGTGCAATCTGATATAGGCTATACATATATATTCCTATTAAACATATTTTCATATTAATCATGTTATAAGGAAGAATTAGAACCAATAGAAGGAACCACAAGAAAGAGGAAACAAAACAAAACAGAAGGAAAAAAAAGAGCAAATAGTATGCTTCAATCTGTATTCAAACTCCATAGTTCTTCCTTTGGATGTGGATAGCATTTTCCATCATGAGACTTTTGGAGATGTCTTAGACCCTTGTATTGCTGAGAAGGGCTAACTAAGTCTATCAAAGTTAGTCATCGCACAACGTGGCTGTTACTGTGTACAAATGTTGTCTCCTTTCTTAGAATATAAGCTTCTTGAGGGTGGGGATTGTGTCTGACACAAAGTTAATTTCCTTTTATTTTGTGTCTAATGCCTAATAAAAATGCCTAATAACTGCTTGTTGATTGATTGAATCATACAAGTAAACATTTTCTTAAAGGTACAATGACATGGATCATGATACTACCAGACTAGAAAGACTTAGACCATGGTCCTTATGATGTATGACTGTTGTCCAAAGACCAGACCAGCTAAGTTCAGAGAAACATCATGAGATGTTGGCTATAGGGAGATAATTTTCTTCGACAGCAACTCACAAAAATCATCTGCTAAGCTTTACAGATATTCTAATTTGTTAGTGGAATCCCAGATCTTTGACCTATTGAAGTGTAGTATATCGACATGTCCTCTCACAAAGCCTCCCCCAAAAGTTACAGCAGGTTGGAGGCACACTGTGGATTGATAGCCATTCAAAATTACAGCTCAAAAGCCCCTCAGTGTGTATACTTTTACCAGTCAACCAGACAAGACTTGATTTTAAACAAAAAATCAAAGAACACAGTAAATGAAGTAAAATGTTCTATATCACCACTATTTTAATAAATTAAGTTCTTTTTAATCTTTCATTCTTATGACTCGTTTAGGTCAATCCCCCATTTTATTATAGAAAGTACTGTCTTTAAAATCTTATGTTTTTCCCTTATTGTCTTTTTTTGTTATTGTTTCTCACCCATTTTATACACCTTTAAATCAATAAATTTGGCTATTGTTTAGCACTTTCTATGTTTTTGCTTTTCTTAATATCCCCAGTGGTTAACTCAGAGCTTGGCATGAAATAAATGCTTGTCAATGATTTTTTTTGTTTCTCAACTAGGTGGTACAGTCGTTAAAAGTTCTGGGCCTGGAGTCAGGAAAGTCTGAGTTCAAATCCAGCCCCAGACACTAACAAGCTGTGCGAACCTGGGCAAGTCATTTACTGCTTGTGTGCCTCAGATAATAATCTCACCTACCTCCCAGCATGGTGATGAGGAGTAAATGAAATAATACATGTAAAGCACTTAGTTTAGTACCCGGCATATAGTAGGTACTATATAAATATTAGCTGCTATTATTAGCTAATATTATTTTTAAACATAAACACTGATTGCTTATTTCTATCTAGTTACAAAAGTTTGCCTGCTTGTGATAGTTGGCTACATCAGGTACTAGCTCAAGTTTGTGACGGGAACAGAATGAGACAAATAACATTCTAACAGTTAACAAAAGAAGGTTTACTTAGCCATAACAAGGGAGGAGCATTTAGAGAAAGGAAAAGACACTCATCCATGGGTACAGCATCGATTCCATTGAGCACAGCTTCCCTGCTTCTGTGGTCCCTCCCTGTGGTGGTGGCCGGTCAGGCCTCAAGAGCTGCTGGATTCTCTTGGTGGTAGTGGCAGCGTGGTTTTTATTTTATTTAGGCAACCAGGAAGCCGTATCACCAGTTCAAGCCTTAGTCTTCTGGGAAGTTCCTATGGCGGAGAAGGGGGTGGGTTCTGGTAGAACTTCTCCTACCATACCCTACCCCTTTGTGGCAAAGTCCTAAGAGTCTTTTAAAGATCCTTCCACCACCTAAATTGCTTTGGGCCATTACTGAACAAAACTGACCTTGGAGCTTTGAGAAGTCTAACACAGGTAGTGCTGGAGGAGGAAAAGAAAACCTAAACAGAAAGAATGCTAAAACATATATAGATATAGATATAGATGAGAGAGAGAGAGAGAGAACACCATAAGACAACACAACAGTTCCTTAGAGCAACGGGACATAGGAATCCCATACCACACAGTTGTGACTGTCCCTCCCCCCTTCAGAAGGACTGAGTCCTGGCTCTAAATGATTTGGCCCAGCCTGGTGGGCCAAATTCACAGTAGGTCTTCCTAGATAAAGTGACAATGAGCAGGAGCAGTACCAGGAACTAAAGATGATCCGACTTCCCACATAGTCATCCATCCTTATCACAGATCAAGGTTATCTGTATTAAAGCACTTATGAAGTCATCACCCTCTTGTATGCAGCGTGTCCCAATGTCAGGATGGAAATTGAGAAATGGCCCACCAGAGGGGCTCCTACTCCTTCCTCAAAACCCCATGGGGGGGGATAGAAGGAATATCAGATTTTTGTCCTTTAAGAGACCTCTAATGAACTGCCCCCTCTTTGAGGGCTGGGGAAACAGTTTCACCTCCGCACTATGACTAAAAAAACAAGACAATCTCTTCAAACCACCAGTCATTCATCCAAATCTTTTCTGGAAAGAGTATTCCAATGACCACTGGGTCCTAGCAGCCATGTAGAGGGATCCCAATAGTTCTAAAATATAGTAAGCAAAAGGCTATACTGGTTGGGCCTGTCTTTGCCACTGCCCTGTTACCCACTTTACTGGGGACCACTTTACTGATGTTGAAACCAGCACTGTTGTTTGCCACCAATGAAGCGGCCCTGCTGCTTGATCTTCTGAGGCCAAGCCCTGCTTCCCTGTACTGGGCACTGACAATGCTCCCTGTGCTGGACCTGAATGCTGCCACTGCCCCCGTGCTGGGGTAGGAACATTGCTTCAGGCATTACTACTGTTTCCCTCACTCCCCTCAAGACATTTTACCTCTCCTAAGGCCTAACTTTGCCCCCTGTTCTGAGGCTGTGTTACCTCCTCATACCAGGGGCTAAGTGCTTCCAAGGGCACTGCAGCTGTTCCCATGTGCCAGGCCAGAGGTAATAACAGGCAGTGTTACCGGTGGGGCCTAAGCTCTGTGTTCCCAGAAATAGCCCCTATTCCAGGGGCTAGGGATGTCCCCCTCTGCTGGGAGCCAGGCAGGTACTGCCTCCCTATACTATGACTACACTGTCAACCACTCTCCTCTCAACTGCCTCCCCAGAGCCCTGCACCAGAGTCACAATGAAGTTCATTTGGCACAATTTCCAAATGCTAAAAAGTACCAAGCAGTTCCTTGGCTCTATGTCTTTTTTTTTTAATTATTTGTTTATTTTTAGTTTATTTTAGTTTCAACATTCACTTCCATAAGATTTTGAGTTTTTAATTTTCTTCCCCCCACTTCTTTCCAGTCCCCCCTCCCAAGATGGGGTCACAAAGAGTCAGCCACGACTGAACCACTAAACAACAACAAAAAAACAGTGAAGAAAGAAAAATGAGAAACACAGTTTACATGAGATAAAATCCAAGAAGGAAGTCAGCTGTAAAACTTATGGCCTCAAACATCTATACATCATTGCCCAAAGTTTTAACATTTTTGCCCTGCTCTACCTGGGGGGCTTCTCTACAAGTTTCTTTACAAGTTTTGTAAAACTTGGACTCAAGTCAAAAGGCTGAATCCAAGAGCGTAAAAGGCCATATGTGGCCTCAAGGCTGCACGTTTCCCACCCCCCACCTTAGCCAATCCCTTGGCCTCCCTCCCTTCTGAAGGAGGGGTTTTCCTTTTAAATCAGGTAAATGATTGCCTCAGTGCCAACCCAGTCAGTTACCTGACACTGCTGTTAATTCATTTACTCAAAGAAAAATGGGGGAATGGTTATCAAAAAGAATGATTAACTCTTTCATTTCTGATAAAACACTGTTGGATTAAATCTTTCTCTTTTCTTCCAGTCCATTGCCAATTGTTCCATTCAACTATAGCACTCAAGTGATAGCACCCACAGTTTAACATTTCACTAATCATCCACTCAATCACATTAGCCATCTTAAGAAACAAGTAAACAATTAAATCCAAATGGGCAAACATATTATTAAAGCACATAGAT